ATCTAAACGACTGAATCCTTCAATACGACCTATTGCTTCACAACCTGTGGGATATCTGCCATATAATAATAGATCCACGCAATTTGTTACTAATACAACACCCGTTCGCGTAGAAAGATTGATTCACATATAACATTTCTTGCATCGACACACAACTGATAATCTTATTCTGTGAATATCAGCTTTTAGCGTCCGTACACATAACACGTTTCAATAAACAAGCAACATAATTCTTTCTTTAAATTTTTCTAGAAAGAAGAAAATTAAGGAAACCGTGTAAAAGGGAAGTTCTTGTTTTTTCCTCTTTACATCTTCTTTGTTAAGTTTCTTGCTATCAAAAATATTCAAATACCTGATTGAATGTCAGCACAAGGTTAACAGACAGTAATATGGTTATGAAACACATGAAAAGTACTTTTGATATGAGTTTTGAAAAACACGATAGTTTAAAAGTATTGAGATATAACGCGATAAAGTCGAATTCTAACTCTAATCTAATTTACTCTACTCATGGTAACAAATATGTTCAAAAAGTTACTTTACAATTATCACTTGTGTTGAATATCTCAAAATACTGCCTATTCAGTCCCATGAAAGACCTTAATTATATCCGACAGGTTTCTTATGCGCGCCTACAGAAATTTCATCACATATCATATTTGAATCGCTAAGAAATTAGGCTGAAAACTTTCTGGTATTCAAACAGCCATAATATCACATTTGCTCGGTCCTATCCATTCAAACTGGGAACCCTGGTGATTTTCGTTTGCCACCCAGATCCATTCCAATAATACTAGTATTATATTTAAATGGGATCAAATCGAGCAGTTCAAGCTTTAGTACAGTAATGACAAGGATTTTCGAAAAGTTGTCCAAAAATCATCCCGGTTGCGGCATATTCTCAGTCTCAATAGATATTTCTGGTTGATACTGTTGTTTCTTGTCTTTCATATTATGATAGAAGATCGAACCTAATCTCAAAAATTTATCCTGAATAAAACTTATATCATTGCATATCATCAAGCAACAATAATTTCAGTTCAGTTGATGATACTTATTATGAGAGTTCTATTGTTTGTTATCAGATGTGCGATCAGTTTGGTTGAAAAGAATCGATATAATTTTTTAATTTGAGTTCAACAGTTCTTTCAATGAGATACAACAGTGTTGTCAGATGAGCACGTCCAAAATCCAAAACGACTTTCGAGGGTCGAGTCGAATAATTTAAATCACAATTTTCTTAACCAGATTATTAATAATGTCATCGTTGATCTTCACACAATATGTATAAGAGAAAAAGAGAATAAGTATCAAAAGGCAATCAACTCAACGGATAGTAACCCATAAAAAAAATACATATAGATATCAAGGCAGTGGATGTAAATCCAGACATAAATCTTTGTCGCTTCGTTTTTATTAAATCTTTTGCAACTGTTAGAGAAAGGCGAATATAAAGTACACATCATGTTGTTCATTCATTTTACTGACATTGAATGACAAAAAGCAGAACTTATATGCAGAGATCGAAGAAAAAATAACTTATGCACAAAGGAATAAAAATCAGATTCAAATGGTACTATTCTAATCAGTTAACATCAGTAAATTAAAGTCAATTTCTAATAATCATTTGCAATTGATTCAACTTTAATAATCAATTCAAAGATATAGAAAAATGTTAAACTCAAATGAAATCAGTCTTCAAGGAAAGTCCTCTTTCCCGACCGAAAATTTTCATCTTTTTCTTTTTTCATTTTTTATGTTGAATATGTCGATTTAAATGTCCTCTATCTGACGAGTATATTTTAAGAAGACAAAATCATCTCTTTATATGTCAAAAATTCTAAAGAAAAACTTAAACTCAAAGTTTTTTTTATAAATACCTTGATCGAATTGGAATGTCTTTCTTTTTCTTTCTGGATAATATTGTCTCTATGAAATTTGGCGACCTTTCCCAAGTTTGCACCATAGAAAAAAAACGCGCTTTTTTTGTCAATGCCTTCGGTATTTTTCTTCTTCTGAACACTAGAAACGATATATCCAAAAGGAAAAAAAATATGCTACACGATTTGATTCTAGTTGTTGTAAAAAAAATTGTAGCTCGAAAAAATGAAGTATAGATTTTTGGCCTTTGTGATCTCTATATTTCCGTGAAAAAAGCATCTGGGAATTTTAAGTCTATATCTTCCGGAAAGGGAGGTTCCCCTTAAGTAAGATAGCCTTAAAACACTTTTATTACTCTTCGATGTGTTGCCGTTTTTGCTTTTAGATGTTGACTCTGCATAGGTATGTAAAAAATTATTCAATAAAAACTTGAATATTTCGATGAATTCATCGGTTATACTTCATCGCTATAAGCACTCTCTCTATATATATATCATCATTGTCTCCTTCTTTTCTCTTCCTTTCGCGCGCACATAAACGCCTTTGTTTGCGTATTACTCATCGACCATTCTTAGCTTACCTTTCCATTGCTCTTCTCTTTTCTCCCTATTCTTTTGTTATATTTCCTCCATCATAGAAGAAAGAATAAACCGGACAAGCTTGATAAATATTCAGTATTGTAGAGCGAAATTTGGTTCTTCTTTTAAGACATTATTTAATTTAAAACAATTAAATTTTTTTAGAAAAAAAAATCACAAAAAAGATAATATTTATATTAGAATTCTTTGAGTATATTTTCAATGCTACTTTCGTATCTATTGAAAATTGCCTTAGAAAGAAGACTAAAATTCTGAATTTCTACATCCTTTAACATGCTCTGTCGTCAATGAATTTCCTTTGGAAAATCATACGATGAACCATTCATATCTATTGGCGAATAGTCGAACTATTTTATTCGATAGAACAAACGACGATGACATAATGCCTTGAATTCTCTTTTTTTCTTTTTTCTCTCTCTCTCTTTTTCTTTCCTATGTATGTATTTGTTAGTCAGTCAATTATTTCAAACATTTTGTCCATAATCATAACCGTTATCTCTCAGCGAATACAGCAGATATAAACATTCTTATTTCTTTGTTTTTCAAAAATGCCCGAAATAGGTTCATGTACTGATATAACATGTGATGATGAAATTAAAGAATTATATGAATGTCATTGTTGTTCACGTCTTGTTTGTTTATATCATTTGAATGGACATGTTGAAATAATAAAACAAAATAAACGACAACAAATATATAGTATTCGTAATGAATTAAATACAGTTGTAAATACATTAAAACAAATTATTGAAGAAAAATTATTAACTATTGAATATGAACAAAATTTAATTGAACAAGCAAAAAAAATTCTTGACGTATCCAATAGTTCCATTGATGAACTACAAAATATTTTCGAAAAAATTAATAAAACAATAATATCAAATCGTTCAGGTAAAAAATAAATTCAATAATCGCTTTTTATTTTTGTATATCATTCTTTTCTTTTCTTTCTTTGTTTATCGAAGAACCAACGATGGTGAAAATCGAACCATCATTATTAGAAACTAAATATTGTTCTTGTATTGGCAAACATAATAAGAAAAACATGAATTCAAATAGTAAGATGAAATCTCTCTCTGAAATATTTTTTTTAATTTAATTGTATTTATGTTTATTTATTTTAATCGAACCATAGATGTTCGTGTCTAACGAGGAAGCTAACAGAACTTATTAATCACCACTTGAACTCATATTGACACTAGAAAGATTTCTTAGTGAAAGTAGCTGCAGTTAATGATTCAAGTTTTGACTGTTCTATTGAATTATCGATCTGCAAATGTCTATAGACATAAGTCTGATGATCCTTGAAATAGCTTGAAAGTTTTCAGTCAAAAAAAAACCGTTCATCTATCGAGACATTGCAATTCCTGATAAATTTGATTCACGATTTCTTTCGAACCTTTTCTACTCTTAGCAAGTTTTTATAATTGGTCTAATATAGGTTCAAATGGTAGAGATCAGTTCATATAGTTCCTTTGTAGGATAAAAAAGCCTTTAAAATATAACCTTTTTTTATGTTTAGGTGTAGCAGAAGAATTGGGAAGCTCAAGAAGTAAGTTAAATTTTCTTTAGTTTCAAAAAAAAAAGAGAAACAAACATAATTGATTTAAGATGATGATTATTCAGCAGATATCAATCATGATTTTATTGATATTGTTTCAATAGAGTAAGTTTTTTTTTTTATTAACAAAAAAGATTTGACATCGATTGCATATTTTTCTTTCTTTTAGTGAAACAACAGAATCTATTCAGGTAAAAATAATTGTATTCATGAAAGAGTTGATAAGGTCACTTTTTGAATTGAAATATATCAAACACTATCATATCGCATCTAATTATTCATTAAATATCGCAGTATAGCTATTTGTTTTTAATGGATATTATTAAAAGGAAACAATAATAAATATGTTCTAAATAGTATCGTCAGTGGATTGAATTCTGTTGTGAATCAACAGATTTTCTTCTGTATTATCGCAGAAAAATGAGATTCTCTGCAAATGGGATTAGTTGTAGTTTATTCTGCTTGCAGCTTGGTATTCGATATAATCATGTATATATATTCTATCGATCTGGACTTGTCTAAACTTTTTGACAGCGGAATAGACCTGATTCGAAACTTCTCTTGAAATTAGGAATCATAAAAATGATGTTTCTCGACAAAATTTCGCTCTAAAATCAAGTGACAAGAAATTTCTGAATCAATAAAGTTCTAAGAGAACAATTGGCTATTTTTCGAATTTGTGAACTATTCGTATTTCATAGATTTACTCTTCAAGATGATTAACCAGAATACGATTTTACTATTGAAATTAGTTTTGTACACACAAATTAGAGAATTGCTCGAGTTTAAATATTTTCATTAATAAACTTCATCTTGTAACGAAGTCCTATTTACAATCGAATATTATATGAAATTAGTTTATATGAATATATCATACTTCATCCTTCTTGATCTTCTTATGCTTTTCTGTATTTAAGTGAATATGATATAAAATACTTAATATCAAAATCGGTTTGTTATTCTTTGTATATGTCTAAATTAGTTTTATTTTCTATGAAATATTTAAACATTCATTGTATTTTTTTAGGATCAACATGTAAATGAAAAACAACAGGAACGTAAATCAAAATCATACAGAAATATTGTTGATAAATGTCCATTAACATTTGATGGAGCATATGGTCTTACTAAAGCAAATCATTCTATTGAATTTTGTGAACGTGGAACAACTCGTCGAATCGAATTATATCTCCATTTTGTTTACAAGCATCAATTAAAGAAAGTTTATGCTCAACGTTTGGTACAAGCTATTGCCGATAATCAAGATTCTAGAATAACAAAATTATTTAATGAAAATGAAGATGTAATTGATCATTTTTATAAAGTTCCATGTCCTTTTTTTTACGGACGAGTTAATTCACTAGAATATACTCAACGAAATGTAACCATTCCATCATGTCAACGTCGTTTAGTTGCACTTTATAAATTAAAACGTCATTTACGAATTAATCATAAGATTTCGAATTCATCGGCACAAAAATTAGTTGATGATTTCGAAAAACATCGAACAAAAAATAATATTGCTTTGGCTCCATTAATTTCATCAACACCATCAAAATAACAGAAAATCTTAAAATTGTTTTCATTGATATTTGTCTCTCGTTTTTTTTTCGTGCTAATAAATATAAAGAATTCAATAATTCAAAATAAATGTTTAGGTTATTCTTTACTATTAGTATCTGATTAGGTTTTTCCATTTCAAGCTAATGAGTTGATAATAAAAATCGGACGAGAAAATCTATGAAATTATTGAAGACCACTCATCCTCATGCTATGATTACGGATACGTCTCAATAAGACTAGGTTAAAAGACTCCATGACCTCCTGGTAAACAATCATAATTGTTCTAATGAAATTATTCCTGAGACCAACAAAGAAAATGATCAAGTCTTTCTCGATGTAATGAGTTTTCAAACTGACACGATTGCTGCGTCCTTTTATTGTAAACATCTGGTTCTTTTGAGTATTAGAAATTTCAAAAAAGACATATTCGTTTTTCGTTGAACATTTTAAGAATATCAAGCTTATTTATAAGCGAAATTTCACATCAACTATTTGTTTCGAATTTTTCGGGGTGTGGATGTAGGAATGTGCGTGTTTCAGAAATGATGGAAATAAATACACCAACATCCATACCTCATCCACCCATATACTCCACACTTACCCCTTCTCCTGATAACGTATGCATGTTGAAGTGTATTACAGCATGAAACAAATTTACATCTGTTCGTCACGCGTAGATTGTGTGACTCGATGAGTAGAAAACGCAAACAAGAGGAATAAGAGCTTGTCGTTTTGTTGATACTTGAAAACAATAACAATACGGTGTGCTTGTCGATAAGTAGACGTTTGCGTAGATAAAGGTAAGAGCTAAACAACTCTATTTTGTCGTTACTTACAATAAACACCTTGTAATAGTTTATTATGAGTTACCAAAGTTTGTTAACGAACTTGTCCATGACAGGTGCAAATTTGGAATATTGTATTTTAGTAACGATTGAGGAACTTGTAAGGCTTCTTTTTTGATCTGCGAGAACTAACTCAAAACATCTATCCATGCAAGACACGCAGATCGAAAGGTTACTCTATTATCATTCTTGGTGTGCGAAGAAGGGAAGAAACACCCACAAAACAAAGCTCTTTATTGACCTTGGATTTGTCGTGAATTAAACAAAAGAATCAGATTGAGACAATGATTTTTTTTTGAAGATGAGAGTAAAAAGATAAACAATATGATGAGAAGGGGAAACGATAACAGCGCGGAAGAACATGTGAGAAAAATGGAGAGACAGAAAAAAGGATGAATGAAAAAATAACATGCAACAGGACGGGATCGAAACGAATAATCCATGAAAATGATAATAGTAGGCGAATCACGTTAGTCCAAAGTTTGGCACTTAACGCCGTGATGAAGATTAGTTGAATAGATAAAACTATCATTATGTTGGTATCATCTCTTGAATCTCTCATTGATTGCGCAGATTCGTAGCAAGATTAGATCTATCATATCAC